AAGGATGAGGGTAATCTGCTAGGGAGAGTCTGGGCAGAGGAAATGGCTGCTACAAAGGCCTGGAAGTGCAAACACGGGGCTCTGGGAAACAGCAAGCTATTATGTCTGGACCCCTGCGGGGGAGAGCAAGTGGGGGCAAAAGGAAGCTGGAGAGGTTAGGGGCCTTCAAAAGGTGTCAGAGTTTGGGCTTCTCCTAACAGCCACAGACAGACAGTAGACAGCTCCGAACAAGAGTGACAAAGTCAGAGCCAGGATTCTAAAGATCAGCAGCCAAGAGGAGTATTTAAGAGCACGTGTTTTGGGGGTGCCTGGGTGGCTCAAGCCATGATCTCACGGTTCATGAGTTTGAGCCCCGCATCGGGCTCACTGCTGTCAGTGCAGAGCCCACTTCGGATCCTCTGTCCCCCCATCTCTCTGCCCCTGCCCCACTTCCGCTTTCTCTCTCAAAAATAAAAGAATAAATTAAGAAAAAAAGAGCACGGGTTTTGAAGCTAGACTGCCTGAGCTCAGATCCTGGTTCTGAGGCTTAAAAAAGGATGGCCACAAAGAAGGATGAGATCTTGCCATTTGGGACAACATAAATGGACCGAAAGGGCTATCATGCTAAGTGAAGTCAGAGAAACAAAAATACCACACGATTTCACTTCTGTGTAGAATCTACAAGACAAATGAATAAACAAACAAAAAGCAGGGGCTCCTGGGTGGCTCAGTCAGTGGAGCGTCAGACTTTGGCTCAGGTCGTGATCTCGCCATTTGTGAGTTCGAGCCCCACAGCGGGCTCGCTACTGTCAGCACGGAGCTTGCTTTGGATCCTCTGTCTGCCTCTCTCTCTCTGCCCCTCCCCTGCTTGCACTCTCTCTAAACAAAACATTTTTAAAAATTAAAAAAAAAAGAAAAAGAAAACAAACAAAAAGCAGAATCAAACTTCTAAATACAAAGATCTGATGTTGCCAAAGGGGGATGGGAGGATGGGCAAAATGGGTGAAGGGGAGTGGGAGATACAGGCTTACAGTTATGGGATGAATAAATCACAGCAAGAAAAGGCACAGCACAGAGAATGTAGTCAATGGGATTGTAATAGTGTTGTACTGTGACAGATGGTGGCTACACTTGCAGTGAGCATAGCGTAAGGTATGGAGTTGTTGAATCACCATGTTGTACATCTGAAACTAAGGTAACACTGTGTGTCAACTGAAATCCAAATATAAAAGGAAGTCCGGTGCTTCTATGTACAAAAGAAGACCAGAAACAGTGTAAATGTCCTTAACAGAGGATTGTTTGAATAAACCATGTGACATCACACGATGATGTTCTGTGCATCAGTCAAAAGAAATGAGGAAGATCTCATACTATGCTGTACGGTGATCTCTGGGATTCAAGCTAAAATGCAGACCAGTAGGCATTAAAGAAGGGAATATAGTCACTCATATTAAGGGAGAAAAAAAATGGAAGGATATCATTGACTAATTAAAATTCTAACTTGCAGAGTAAGGAAAGTAACAGGCCGGAGGAACAAAGATGGAAGCCTTTATTTCTCTGGATATACCCGGTTTACATTTTCAACCTCAGAACCATGTAAATGTTTCACAACACTATAAAACAGGATCGATTCAAAAAGAAGAAAAAAGCAATCCCTAAAAATTAAAAACATACCTAACTGTATAACAAACTGTTGATAACACCACAGAGAATTACTTCAAGTGATCTTAAAACACAGTAATTTGACCACACATCTGCTGCAGGATAGGTCCTAAGGACAAAAAGAATCACAAAGAAATACTAAACTAATTTTTAAGCTTATTTATCTTGAGAGAGGGAGAGAGAGAGCATGACAGCATGCATGAGGAAGGGGTGAGAGAGAGGGAGAGAAAAGGAGAAACCCAAGCAGGCTCTGCACCATCAGCACGGAGCTGACGTGGGGCTCGAACCCAGGAACCAGAGATCATGACCTGAGCCAAAATCAAGAGGTGGACGCTTAACCTACTGAGCCATCCAGGCGCCCCAAACTATTTAGTATTAGTCACAATACTACTGTTATCTTTAACATATACATGATTGTATTGATGGCATTAGGAACTAAGATTTTCAGTGTAAGAAGAAATATACATATTAAATTACAAATTTATATACAAATTACATATTACATAATAAAAAGAAATTAAGTAAAAATCTCACGATCTTCAATTTGGCCCGGAAATATCACTCTGAATTCATGACGTATTTTTCTCTTCCTGGTTTTGACCACTCAAAACGTCTAGAAATAATGGCAACCCAGTGCAACTAGCACTCCGAACACCAATTTGTGGTTTCAACCTCCCCGAACCATTTTCCACTAAAAGAAACAATGGTTTTTAGAGAAACAGCCAGTTCCAGGCCATAATGGAACATAGAAGTGATGAGCTCTGGGCATCCTTTAGACCAGAAAGCAAGAAAGCAATTAAAGACACCTGGGTCATGTCAGAACAACACATACCAACTTAATTAGACTCCCATTAGCCACGGATGGGACAATGTGAGCAACAGAAAAAATATCTGCAATGGATTGAAATATAAGTGTTAAAAATTAGGGGCGCCTGGGTGGCGCAGTCGGTTAAGCGTCTGACTTCAGCCAGGTCACGATCTCGCGGTCCGGGAGTTCGAGCCCCGCGTCGGGCTCTGGGCTGATGGCTCAGAGCCTGGAGCCTGTTTCCGATTCTGTGTCTCCCTCTCTCTCTGCCCCTCCCCCGTTCATGCTCTGTCTGTCTCTGTCCCAAAAATAAATAAACGTTGAAAAAAAAATTTTTTAAATTCAATAGTTTGTAATGAAAGCAGGGAAAAAAAGAAACACCTAATTGGTCACCTCTAAAAATTGTAAGGACCCCAACTCATTTTCTGAAAATTGGCAAAGAGAACACATCAAGCATTGTCGTTCCTGCCAGAACTGTATTTCAGGGCATCCCAATGGTGTTGACAGGAAGTTTATAGAATAATTGTCACCTCGGTCAATAGCAAATACCCCAACGAAGTATTTTCAGTTAAAAACATTATACCTGAATCTAATTAACTCTCTAGATCTAATTGCCAGCTCACAGGAAATACTGGGATAGAGAAGCATGCTAAAGGACACCAGGAGGATTTGGTGGGAAATGTCCACAGGACAGATGACTCGGTGTCCTCAACAAATAAATCACAAGGGAAAATGGAGGGGAAGGAGGAACTGTTTTATATTAAAAAGAGACTGAAGAGATATATCTACAAAATACACTGTTGTATCTTTTTTGGATCCTGACTTGAACCAACATTAAAAGACCATTTGCAAGACAAGTCGGGAAATCTGAACAGACTAGAAATTAGATGACATTAAAGAATTACACTTAATTTCATTAAGTGATGCTTAGATTTTTTTTTCATAAAAAGCTCTTTTACAAACATTATCCTGATGCTGAAGACCCCCAGAAGACATTCGATAAATATCTTAAGATAAATGACAAGAGCGACACTCCCCTTTAAACCTTCTATTTCACCTTCCCCCAGTAAAGGATAACCCCTTGGCAGTTACTGAAGTCACCACCCTTCCTCACCATCAGTCTCAATCACCTTTCCCAAGGCTCCTCTTCATGCCTCTGTATTTCCAAACTGGGCTGTTTGCAGTTTTCTGCATAGGTCCCATGATTTCCTTCCTGCGTGTCTTTGAAGGCCCTGGAATGCCCTTCCACTATCTCCATTTGTTCAAATCCTACCCTCTTGAAGACCCCTCGCAAAAGTTAGCTCCTATATAAAGCCTTCTTTGAAATTCCCATGTTGCAATAGCTCACCTGTGCCACCTATAACATCTTACCTTTTCTGTTACTTTGTGAAATACCTATTATCGGTCTGTATATTCAGCAAACATTTATTGAATACCCTACCACGTTTTGGACCTGTGCTAGGGGCTAAGTATGCTATCATGTATAGACACTGTCCCTGACCACATGGAGGTTAGGGTCTAGCGAAGGCTAGCCAAAAAGTACACTAACTATATAAGAAATGACTCACAATTCTGAGAAGCATTACCAAAAAAGAAGCGTGTGAACTAGAAAGGATATAAAAAGAGGTGCCAGGGGCGCCTGGGTGGCGCAGTCGGTTAAGCGTCCGACTTCAGCCAGGTCAGGATCTCACGGTCCGTGAGTTCGAGCCCCGCGTCGGGCTCTGGGCTGATGGCTCAGAGCCTAGAGCCTGTTTCCGATTCCGTGTCTCCCTCTCTCTCTGCCCCTCCCCCGTTCATGCTCTGTCTCTCTCTGTCCCAAAAATAAACGTTGAAAAAAAAAAAAAAAAAGAGGTGCCAGACACAATTGGACTCTGCCACGTGGGTGTACGATTTAGGATTAAATACTCTACATTACAATTCACTGTGCCTCACTTGTTAATAATGCAGATTTCCTGGGAATGCTTAAGGCTTAGAACGAATTTGTAATACCATCACCTGGCACCCAGGAGACCCTCAATAAACAGTTCTGACTCCCAGCACCTGCGCCCTTGCGGAAAGAACTTGCTTTTTTTGATTAGGCTTTGGGTCCTAATCCCTAGCTCTGAGTCTGACAAAAGCTATGAACCCAATAAGCATTTCAGAAATGAACCCAATAAGCATTTCAGAAATCAGTAACACGGGAAAGGAAGAAAGATGTGGTAAGAACACCCAGCATCTACATCAGGAATCTCCTTGAAATGTAGGGTACTATTATCTACGTTTTATACATGAAGCAACTGAGGCTCAGCGCAAGAATGAGGTCCAAAAGCATGACAACATGCAAGTCCCAGCTCCAGGGCCTCTCCTCGGTCTCTTTTTCTCCATCCATTACTCCGCAACTCAAACGCAGAAGCCAGGACGAGGCCAGGAGCCCTTCCCAGAAGGCTTTGCAGCGCCGCTGAGAACTCTGGGATACAAAGGGATAAACAAATCCAAGGCAAGGACCGAGACCTAAGACCGCGAAACTCCTTTGTAATCTCGCCGGGTGACTTCTTCACCCCTTCTGTTTCCTTACCTTTCCTGGCGCTGCCGCTACCGGAAGTCTCACCAATGCCTGCAAAGGCCGGGAACAGCGCCATGACGGCAGGCCGCACCGCCGTCCCCCTCTCCAGAAATGGCGCCGGCGAGCGGACGCCGGTAGTGAGGCCTTCGCGGTTGCGGTGCACTCTGGGAAGTGTGGTTTTCCCACTCGCACTCCCTGGGGCTTGACCCGGGGACCCGGCAGGGCGAGGAGGGGCGGGGCGGGGTGGGGCGGAGCCACATCGCCGTAATTGATACTGGAAGGCTTCTGTTAAAACCCGGAAGTGCAGAGACCGGGTGTGGAATTGTTCAGAGCAGAAAGTAGTAGGAGCTGGGATTCCGGTTGACCCCTGAACTCGCACCGTCACTAAGTGGGTCAAATTAATCAAACTCTGAGGTTCAGTTTCCTCATCTGCAAAATGTTCGTTCGATTAAATGAGCCTTAATAAGGTGCTTAGTTGGCATTGTGACTGGCCCATGGAAAGCACTTGATGAAAGTTAGCTATTATGTGAGTTGTGACTGCAAATCCAACTCAAAGCCACGTGAGATATCCAGAATTCCGTTTACTATTTAAAATACCTTGGGGTGCCTGGGTGGCTCAGTCGGTTAAGCGTCCGACTTCGGCTCAGGTCATGATCTCCCAGTTTGTGAGTTCAAGCCCCGCACTGGGCCCTGTGCTGACAGCCCAGAGCCTGGAGCCTGCTTCGGATTCTGTGTCTCCCTCTCTCTCTGCCCCTCCCCTGCTTGCGTGTGCTCTCTCTCTCTCTCTCTCTCAAAAAATAAATAAACATTAAAAAAAAATTTTTTTTAATAAAAAAACACCTCAGGTTCTACCAAAACCTCTGGCTCTAAGTTATCTCAATTAGTTGGAGCAGCATCTGCCTCCTTAGCAGATGACTGCAGAGCGGGGATGCTGATAGTCCTCCCCAGTGCTCCATGTCTTTCTACTCCAGAAAAATAAGTTATATGGAAGGTTTAGGAAAATCAAACCTTAATAGTAATGTGTCTGTAATCAGAAGGAATCTGGGCATGTTAGATATTTTCGGTGCTACAAATGCATAGGAGAATTGGGCTTAAGAGAGCACCCTTATAAGAATAATTTAAAGGGGCGCCTGGGTTGATTACTTGGTTGAACATCCGGGACTCTTGATTTTGGCACAGGTCATGATCCCAGAATCCATGCTGAGCCTGGAGCCTGCTTAAGATTCTCCCCCCACCTTCTCTCTTTCTTCCTCTGCCTCTCTCCCCTGCTTGTTCTCTCTCTTTCAAAATAATTAATGAAAAAAATTAAAAAACAATGTAAATTGGGGGGGTATTTATTTGCTGAGAAGGAGAGAGAGAGAGAGAGAGAGAGAGAGAGAGAGAGAGAGAGAGGAAGCTGGGCAGGAGCAGGAAGAGGGAGAGAGAACGGATCCCGAGAAGGCTCTGCACTGCTAGTGTGGAGCCCAATGCGGGGCTCAAACTCACAAACTGTGAGATCACGACCTGAGCTGAAATCTGGAGTTGGATGCTTAACCAACTGAGCCACCCAGGCGCCCCTAAAAAACACTTTAAAGTGTACAGTCAAGGGGCGCCTGGCTTTGCAGTTTGACCCCCCCCCCCAATTGGGTGTAGAGATTACTAAAAGCAATTAATTAACAAAAACAAAGTGTATAATTGAGTAACTGATACAAACTCCTGATTTTAAGTTGAAACTTTATGAAGTTTAGACAGAGTTTCAGAACATCAAAGAATATAAAGTTTACTATATGTGTAAGTGTAATTGCTTAGCTTTATAAAAATTAATACCTGGCAGGTAATTGAAGTACCTGAAAAGGAAATGAAATATATTAAATTTATAAATTTATATGAAATATATAAATACAAAGCAAAGGTCAGCAAGCTTTTTCCTAAAGGGCGAGAAAGTAAATATTTTGGGCTTTGTGAGCCAGAGGGTCTCTGTCACAATTACTCAGTTCTGCTGTTGTATCGGGAAAGCAGCCATAGGTAATAAACACATAAACAAATGGGAGCGGCTGTGTTCTAACAAAACTGTGGTTACAAAAACAGTGAGCCACAGTGGACTTGGAAAGTGTTCTGTATTACATTGGGCAGTGTTTGATTAACTGTCTTTATAAATTGAAACAAACATTATTCAAGACCCCTTCAAGGTATTGCTAAAATTTACTAGGCTTATAAATCAAATAAAATTTGTAAGCTGAACTTGAACATTTAAGAACATTGTTCTTCAATTAAAACATTTATTCCTGGGCACCTGGGTGGCTCAGTTGGTTAAGTGACAGACTTCAGCTCAGGTCATGATCTCGTGGTTCATCAGCTTGAGCCCCATATTGGGCTCTGTGCTGATGACTCAAAGCCTAGAGCCTGCTTCACATTCTGTCTCAGTCTCTCTCTGCCCCTCTCCCATTCAAGTTCTCTCTCTCTCTCTCTCTCTCTCTCTCTCTCTCTCTTAAAAAATATTTATTCCTTTATAGTCAATAGCCAGTTTTCAGGAAATGAAAAAGCAGAAAATGTTAAAACACCGGGGGACACAATCAGCAAAACCCTGAAACTGTATAAAACAAACCATCTGGTTCTTAGAACAAATAAAATACAAGGGAAAAAATCAAGTCAAAAAGAGACATACAGGGGCACCTAGCTAACTTAGTTGGAAGAGGCTGTGACTCTTGATCTCAGGGTCATAAGTTTGAGTCCCATGTTGGGTGTAATTACTTAAATAAACAAATATTAAAAAAAAAAAAAAAAGAGGGTCTGGGGCACCTGGGTGACTCGGTTGGTTAAGCATCCAACTCTTGATTTCGGCTCAGCTCATGATCTCAGTTTTGGGAGACTGAGTCCCACATCAGGCTCTGTGCTGACAGGGTGCAGAGCCTGCTTCAGATTCTCCCTCTCTCTGCCCCTCCCCACCCACCTGTTTTCTCTCTCTCTCTCAAAATAAATAAATAAACTTAAAAAAAAAGAGGGGTGGGGCGCCTGGGTGGCGCAGTCGGTTAAGTGTCCGACTTCAGCCAGGTCACGATCTCGCGGTCCGTGAGTTCGAGCCCCGCGTCGGGCTCTGGGCTGATGGCTCAGAGCCTGGAGCCTGTTTCCGATTCTGTGTCTCCCTCTCTCTCTCTGCCCCTCCCCTGTTCATGCTCTGTCTCTCTCTGTCCCAAAAATAAATAAACGTTGAAAAAAAAAAAAAGAGGGGTGCCTCGCTGGCTCAGTCGGTTGAACGTGTAACTGAATCTCAGAGTTGTGGGTTTGGGCCCCAGGTTTGGTGTGGAGGTTACTTAAAATCTTTAAAATAAAAAAATAGAGCGACATACATTAAAAGAGACTTGAGAGGCATATTGACCAACAGTAATGCACATATCCTATTTGGATTCAGATTCATACAAACTGTGTAAGTCAAAATCATGACACTTATGAAACCATTGGTTGGAAATTTGAACACTGGCTGGGTAATTCATAAAATTAAGGAATTATTGTTAAAATTGTATAGGCATGATAAAGGTGCTGTGATTACAGATTTTTAAAAGAGTCTGTGTCTTTTAGATATACATACCAAAAGGTGAAATGGTACATTGCCAAAAACTGGCTTCCAATATGGGAGGAAGTCAAGGGGCGAGGTATGGTTGAAGCAAGATTAGCCCTGAGTTGATAACTGTTGTAGTAACGTATACATGTACTATTATTTTGGCCTTTTTTCTGGTAAAATGTTGAAATGTTCTATAATACAAAAGTTTTAAACTAAACATCAAAAAGTTTACTTTTTTAAAAAGCGTAACAATAAAAGGGAACAAATTCCTGATAGGCATAACAACATGAATGAATCTCAAAATCTGTATGCTGTGCAAAAACAGGCAGACACAGGAGTACTTACCATATGGTTCTATTTATACAAAATTCCAGGAAAGGCAAATTAATATATAGTAACAGAATATATAGTAGCAGATCAGTGGTTGCATAGGGTTATGGGAGCACACGGAGGGATATTCTATGGGAGGCACGCAGAATCTCTTGGGGGTGATGGAAATGTTCTGTATCTCGATCATGGTGGTGGTGGTTTCATGGAAGTGTAACCACCACCTGGCTTTTTAAAAGTTTAAGACCACACTAAGGTTTGGAATGTATTGTTTCAATAAATTAAACACCTTTTAAACCAGGGGTCACCAAACTTTCTGAAAAAAGTTGCAGAGTAAGTATATTAGACTTAGCAGGACATAGGGTCTCTGTGTCGACTACATTGAAATTTGAATTTCATATAGTTTTCACAGGTCACAAAATATTCTTCTCTTTTTTGCAACACTTATAAATGTAAAAAGTATTCCTAACCCATGGACCATAAAAATCAGCAGTGGGTCAATTTGACCCATGGCCACAGTTTGCTGGATGGTTGCAAACTCTATATCATTAAACAAAACTAATTTTTTTAAAGTTTATTTTACTTATTTTGAGAAAGAGAGAGTTTGTGAGCAGGGGAGGGGCAGAGAGAGAGAGAGAATCCCAAGCAGGCTGCATGCTGTCAGCACAGAGTCCAATGCGGGGCTTGATCCCACGACCCTGGGATCTTAACCTGAGCTGAGATCAAGAGTCAGATGCCCAACTCACTGAGCCACCCAAGTGCCCGTAAAAGTAAATTTTTGAAAGGTCTTTTCTGCGTGGGAAATTCCACCCCAGAGTACGTGGAAACAGCTCACTTTAACTGTTGTTGTTGTTGTTATTATTATTATTATTTATTTTGCCCTACAGACTTTGGGTATTTCCAGTGCCTATAGCAGGGATTTCTTAGAATAGGCCAAAAATGGTTTCAAATTCTGATTTGGCTTCATATGTAGTTTGACTAAACGGTGAGAGTGCACCACTCGATCCCTTGTACTTCTATTCTTTGTGGCAGGGATTGCTCCCTCTAGCTGGGCACGGTGCTGTTCTAGATCTGTCTTACGTTCCAGTGTGTTCTCGTTTAGCCTGCGTTGCCTCATGGATTTTGATCACCTCCAGACACTGACAAGAACGAATCTTTTCTCTGAGGCTGGCGGGAGGAGAAGATACGTGAAGGAGGAGCGGTGGGAATTGTGCAGGAGAGATCTGCAGAAAGGGGCTCTGTTTTAGTTGCAGGAGTTGGAAGAGAGATGGTGTTCCATTGGATCCCAGTGGAGTAGGCGGCCAGTCTGGCCACGAAGAATGAAAAATGAGTAGAGGCTACC